CTCGCTTGAATGTAATAGCTCTTCCGGCTAAAACAATTCCCCTCAACTGAGATGGTTTTCTGTCTTTTTTAAAAAAATGCTAAAATTTAACAGGTCTTAATTTGTTTTTAAGCAGAATTCAGCGTTTCAGCTTCAACCCTGAATTTTTTTTATCATCAATTCTTCGTCAATTTCTGCATCACTTTGGATGGAATTTTTTCCCTCCTCCTGCCAAATTTGACGCTTCTTACGCCATTTTTATACATTTTTGCTGAACAGTGAGCAAAAACGCATATTTGACGACCCATAATGAAATTCCACAGTTTTCAACCCGGGAACCAGATAAGCAGTAAAATTTGAACTGTTTGTGTCACGTTCTTTGGCCATGTCTCTATCTGAAAATATTTTACAAGAGTCACCCCCCTTCGCATTTGCAATTCAAAAATTTTATTTTGCAATAAAATCCTGAGGTGAAATTGCCACTCATCAAAGAGGCGGTTGGATTAGCAGAAGATTGCAAAAACGCATTATCGCATCAGCAATCCTGGTGCGCGCCGCTACTGGTTTCACACATTCTTTCGTGACAATTCTCTCTTTCTTGAAAGCAGAAAACGACGACCGGTCACCCTCTATGCCAGTACTTCGGACGTTTTGAGATTTGTCTCATGCATCTTCGAAACAAGCAAAATAATTACAGTGCAAGAACATCACACGATAAACTCGAGAGGTGGCTTCCAAAACTGATGAGGCTCCGGCAAATTTTTGGTCCAACTTCGAAAGGCCAATTGTGATTAACATTCACAGCATGCTACATTAACAACGAAGATCCCCAGCACCGACCGTACCGACGATTTTTCGGTATTACCAACATCACACCAACAATATCAGGCAATTTTAGTGGACTAAATTTACCGAAATGCTAGGAAAGACGAAATAATTTTTTTTTTATAAAATAAAAAATGTGAACAATCGATTCTATCAATCATGTTTTCGTGGGAAAAAAATGTCTTCTCATTTGACGAAATTATAAAGTGCTGGATGCAACAGCAGAATTTCGCACCAGTCTCTGAATGACTAGAAATAAATCTGTTATGTTGGATTTCTGTAAAAAGAATACCCGTTAAGTGAATAGCACTTGGGATAGCTCAACCACAGTTCACTAGGAAGACCATGTTTCATGTTTTGTCGACACCTAATGCATATTGCGAATCACCGACTGACATCGGCAAGAAGAAATTTTTTAAAATCAAAGGGCAGAAATCAACAGAAATCGACAGCGCGCCGCTCAGCATGAAATGGCCACTAGTGGATGCGACAGGCAAGCGGCTCCACCCACTGGCGGATCCAGGACGGCCTCCTGGGGAGCGGAGAAGGGGGAGAGGAGGGGAGCGGACGACGGGGCGGGAAGGGCTGTAGGAGGGACATTTCTTCAGTTTTAGCATTGCTACCTACGTCGCTGGGAGGGAGGGGTGAAAGGCCCATCCCCACCCCTCTTTTGGATTAGCCTATAGTTTCACTTTACTCACAATGAAGTCTCGAGAGAGAGCAAGCTGCGAGCAGCAGCAAAGGGGATTGCGCTTCTCCAGCTGAGGCAACAGTTTCTTTTCTTCACAAGAATCAATATTTCAGTGGTTCTCATTTGTTATATTGTTAATTTCCTCTTTTTTTTACTTCGCCTAATAAAAAAAGCCTGGCAAAATTGCAGCGGAAAAACTAACGCGATAATGCGGGAGCGACCGCCACGCCATTCACCTCCTGCTTCCCAGACGCAACATTTTCCACTTTCGCGTTAGCTAAAATGAAACGAGTGTCTAAAGGGCTAGAAATGGGTTACAAAGATTGAAATTAGCCCAATAATAAAGCGGGCAGTCCAAACAATGCGAATCAGCAATGAAATAAAATTCAAGAGTTCGTGATACGTAAATCAGAAAAAAATTAAAATTCAATTAGTTGCACCTTTTTTCTTGTAATTTTCTATTCCTGGTTTTCCAGACATGTTACCTGAAGTTGGGACATCATCGTTTGCTTTCGGCGACCGCTGCACTGGTGCTCTTGTCGAAGCAGCGATAACAGTAACGTCGCTGTCTGATGATGTGATACTTTCGTCGGAACTGCTCGAAACACCCAACAAATCTGTAGGTTTCTGAAAAAAATAGATGGCAACGCGCACCAGACTACCCGGTGCGATCATGCGTTTTGTGCAATTCAGCCCATCGAACAACTGCCTACCAATGATTTTCACTGCTTTGTACTTTAGTCTATACAAAAATAGTTCAAACATTGGGAAACAGTTAAAAATGTCACGCACCAGCGTATGAAAGCTAAATTCAAAACCTTGAAGGATGAATATCTTTCCGTGATTCCCGAGTTAATAGTTTAT